ATAATTTACAGACAAGTGACCGTAGTCTACGTCAGTAAAGGAAATTGTTCGCTCTCTTCACAGCTTTCTGCAAAACATGTATTCTGAAAATGGGACTTGTCACGTAATAGGGGGCAAAGGCATGACAAGGGGTGATGTTTGGGGTCACACCACGGAAGAAACGCTCACCTGCGACCAAGGTTTCCATATAATCCTTACAGACAAGTGACCGTAGTCTACGACAGTGAAGGAAATTGTTCGCTATCTTCACAGCTTTCTGCAAAACATCTCCTCTGAAAATGGAAAATGTCACATAATAGGCCCACTATGCCTGCTGAGAACTGTTCAAAGATTCCACTTGATATACAGAGGATGGGATATTGAGAGCAGAGGGAACACGTAAAGCCAGTAAGCGCTTAAAAACGAAATGAAGATCTAAGAATTCGGAAAATAACATTCATCTAATCTCACAATGTAGTGGATGAGATTGAGTACGTGGCGCATTCTGGGGTAAGTTTTGAGGCTCTGTGTGTAGCGGTCAGCCCGCATAAGCGGGATTATATACACATCACATGCGAGCAACTACTTTTTGAGATGAAAATCGAGTGCATGGCGCAATCCTATATGGAGCTTTTCCAAAGTATCAAAGCAATTCTTATAGTGTCCGACGAGCTGAATTCAAAGATATCTTCGGATTCTCGAAAGCTCAATTTTGAACCGAGTTATAACGAATTCACGAAATTAACGAGGATTCGCGTTATTCGCGTGAATTTTCGATTTCAAACGGCGAGTACTGTATCTCCTATCAAACACACCCCTTCATACAGTGGCGGTCAAAATTTTGAAAATTTCATAATTTTTGACCCAGCGCGACCTATAAGCAACAAAATCGCCTCAGTAGTGCCTCCTAACTGTAAACGACATGGGTCACGGAACGATCAAATATGCTCCAGTTTAGCAGAAGTTTTTTAAGCACAGCGGAATTGGCAGCTCGGTTCATTCCTCGTTTTCTTCCTATTCTCATGAACATGTCAGTGAGAAAAGGGTAGTGAAAGTAAATACAAATCTAAAGGGATAGAAAAATATATGTTTCACTTGGCACATCCACATCGAAAATAGTTTTGGCATCCACTACAGAGAAAATGACTAAATTCCTTTTCATTACCATTACACGTTCTTTTGATCGGAATTTCGCCACTATATCCTCGATTACTTCTACGCATTGAATATTGGTGAAATGGTTTTGTTCATTGTCTATTCAATATTTACAATTGCTAGGTGCGGCAGTCACGCTTGCAGGATTGTCCCTGTCCTATGTGGTCAAAAAAGCCAAAACGCGCGCTGTCGTCAATGTGTTAATATTGCTTAAAGCTCCGTATTGACTCAATTTAACTGTCGATTATAGCCATTCCATAATTCTTACCATAGAATTCACTTCCAGTCATGTGCGACTGTAAAGATTATGCTACTGTCCAATCAAGTCTATTTTACGACGATTTAGAATAGCCGCCATGCCTGCGGAACGCGAAGACAACGGAAAAGAAAAAATCGATGTGGACAGTGAGGTAAACCAGGAGAGAAAGAATCAACTGAGAACACGATTTGACGTCGTAGTTATTGCAATGGTGGCGCTCAACGTTATTTCTCTTATCATCATAGCCGCCTTCTTTGGCTGGTATAGGAGCTACATCAGGCGTGAAATGCAATCCTACGGCAACAGAGAAGGACAAGGGGTACGTTAAGTCGTCTAAGGAACATAATGGATACGTTCCAGAGAAGGTAACTTCAATAGGAAATGTGAGAAAGTACCAATCATTTTTATCATCAGGAGGAATCTTTTGGTTGCAGTCTAAAAAGGCAGAAGAAATTTCGTGGTAAAGCAAATCTTGGGTTTAGGCTCACTGTGGGGACCAAGACGCGAGGAAACCCGTTGGTAATTACCTACAAGGAAGTGCCTGCTTCGCCGCACAAAATGCGTGGGTAGAGCAACTGCACCAGATAAAATTGTTAGGGCAACAGCGACGACAATGAAATGTGGGTACGCGGTTCTGAGAAAAAGAAGCGTAGAAACCGTCAATGTGACCTTTGGAGAAGAACTTCCTCTCCCCAAAAATAGGAGACCAGACGATTTGTTCGTACTTGCGTGCTCCGCCATCATTAATGCTGGCTCCACACCAGCGACAAATGCGGCTACATTCCCATACACATTCACAGAAGAGGAAATTCAAAGACGAATACAAGCTAAGAGAATGATCCAGGCAATTGAAATCAGCCAATAAATGGACATCGCTTCCAGCGTGGCCTCAGTTTGCACGCAGGCAAAGGCACTTTTGCGCCAACGGCACTTTGCATCACAAGAATGTAATTTCAGTAGGTCGGCAAACCATCACCATAACCCCTTGGCGTCAGATAAACTGTGTTGTGCACATGAAATGCACACTAACACTGAACTTTACGACACAGATTGTGACGCAACATCATGTAATATCCCTTTGCTTGAGAAAGATGCTTCTTAGAGGCGATAATGATGCAGTGTAAGCTACAGATATCAAGGCAACAGACATCTCGGAAGATTCTAAACCTGATATAGGTGGTTTAAATGGGCGTAGACACTTTTACTTATAACGTTCCCGACACTGGTTTTTTCTGTAGCTTGCTAGATCTCTCTTCCTTCACCTTCCGCAGGATTCAGCTTTTACCGTTATTAATGACGGTTACAGTTTCTATCTATTTCAGGCTGACCTCGCTTTTAGAAACTAAGGCCATCTTCGGATAGTCCGCATTTTTAGCCGATTCTTACTGTTCAACAGTATTATTCTTTGTCTGCTGCGTCAGAATACAAGGTGCTGATAGCTTAATCAGGAATCTCCATATATGAAGGCTTTGAAACTGTCATTCTAGTTTCGTTTCCCTTTAAGTAGCATGAGGCCCATTCTACCCTTCAGACTCGTGTTTTGGTGTTATTTACGTAGTTGTTCACCGACAAAGCGTCTTTCATGGTCAGCGCCTTGTGTCGGCCCTTGCATGTTCCGACATTAGGTCGATTAGCTATCTGGTATCTGCCAGTTCCGCGCGCGAGTGGTGCGGTCACGTTGCTCGCTTTGCGTGTGCGCACTCTCATTACAACAATGCACGAATACTGCTCAAGCTTCGTTCGCATTCGGGCGTCTTATCAACCCATATGAAGGGATTTCACCTCATATGATTGCATCTTGCTCAGCACATTCCGTTGTTCACCATTCCGAAAATTAAGAACGCCATGCACGGCAACAAGAGCCTCTCTCTCATCCTATGGTCCTCCGATATCTAACTAAGGTCCTTGAGGTGGGTCTAGGAAAGGAGTTCAATTTTAAATTCTTACCCTGAAAGTTTTCCTCCCCCTCTCTTCTTAGTCAGTCCCTATAAGCGTCACGCACGACGTCATCAGGGCCCACCTGAAAACAAGTTTACGAATTCGACCATATAAAAGTAATGATCTATGCTATGACACAGTGCTACCGAAAACAGTGACGATGCAGTCTAGTGATCATCTTCTGTACCCCTTTTTTACTTTCTCCAGCAATTTTCTGTTTTGATGTAATGAGTTTAGCGCAATGTTCTTTGACGATGGTTTGCGGTGGAGCCCGAAATTCGACGTCGAGGCGTCAATTGCACTGTGGTGTGCATTTCATGTGCACAACACAGTTAAGCCAAGGGGTTATGGTGATGGTTTGCCGACCTACTGAAGTTACATTCTTGTCTTTACATCTTCTCGACTAAGCTCCGGCATCATTTCATTCGATTTGTACAATTGTATGAACAGGCTCTCTCAGAAGGCGCGCTCTCACGCGTTTGCCTTCTCTGGTCGCCCTGTCTCTCCATCGTGCAATCCGACCTTACAGGAAGGCCCCTAATTTCAGCATTATGATGACTTCTCCTGCTTTCTTTTCTACTTCCAATTCACTCCTAGCTCAGCCATCGCTATGGGGCGACCTTTGACAACAGTTCAGTCCGATGCCTGCCTTGGGGAGCTCTATGAAAGCCATGCTAAAGCGCTGCACGGCTTGCAATTGCTTTGCCTCCACCATGTACAAGCATTCGCTCCAAAAATGACGTCAATATAGAAGTAAAGCGGACCCCAGCAAGAAGAATTTCTGAGTGATGAAAAGAGGGTCAAGCAAGCAAGCGCGGATTGAAAAAAGCGAGAGCATAAATTTGCAGACAGAAAAAACGTGAAAAGCGATAGAAATCTAACGGCAAGAAGTGCTAACTACGCCCAATCAATTCTTTCAGCATTGGAGTTCAGAAAAATGAGTGACTTTTTTCATTTTAGATGAGAACATCAGCTGAGGATGTTCCTGCAAAGAAAAAATCATCAGAAGAGGAGCCTGCTAGAAAGAGATCTGCTGAGGATGCGCCTCCCAAGAAAGGTGGTACAGCCTCTTCGGCTGAGCCATTACCTGGCGCTCCTCGACCACCCCAGCCCACAGCACCAGCTGCACCTCCACGAAAACCGCTCGCTGGTGTCGATCCTTACTTCTGGTGAACACAAACAATGATGTCAATTACAGTAATTTGATAATACCTTATAATATAATACAACGTTCACTTTACAGCTGCATCAAATTTGTAATAAATTTTTTTGCAATCTCCTGACACGCTCTTGCAATAGTAAAGGCTCACGATATTAAAGGCATATAACTTTTATTATGTCGATCTGAATAATCTTTCATGATATTACCAGTTTAGCTCCGCACACTACCGCGTGCATGACACGGAAGGGCTCCGTAAAGCTGGCCAGCCGGAGGAGCGTTAGGTTCTGCCGCTAAACAATAACTTTCTTCGTGAAATGCGTTAGCTGGCCTTCTACAGAATGCCCATTTTTAACCAACCGTCTGATACGCGCGGTGGAGTGCGGAGCTAAAGTGGTGTCTGTAAACAGCCACCATGCATTGGATGTCAGGATGATTTAGCGGTCGAATAATATTGATGCCAATGATTTTGCAATAGAAATACCCATTATCGTATATCGCTAAACATCCATCATACATTCTTAGGGATTTTGGGAATATAGCGGTCGAACGGTATTTTATGTTGATGACAACAACGCAATGAGATGATTCTGAAGTGAAATGCGTTATCTAGAACCACGGTTTTAAGCGATCCATATGTTCCCACGTGATTATCGGCCCTTATCACCTCCTGTACCTCCACCAACATGTTCCCGTCCCACCCCCTATATCATGCCCAAAATCAGCTCCTGACGACTGCTGCGAAGCGCACTATGAATTTCGTGAAATTTGTGTTTCAGCGCCTCTTATCTGCTCTTATCAGTCGTTATCACTTTGTGACCCCCACCAAATATGTTCCCGTCCCACCCCCTATATCATGTCCCAAAATCAGCTCCTGACGACTGCTGCGAAGCGCACTATGAATTTCGTGAAATTTGTGTTTCAGCGCCTCTTATCTGCTCTTATCAGTCGTTATCACTTTGTGACCCCCACCAAATATGTTCCCGTCCCACCCCCTATATCATGCCCAAAATCAGCTCCTGACGACTGCTGCGAAGCGCACTATGAATTTCGTGAAATTTGTGTTTCAGCGCCTCTTATCTGCTCTTATCAGTCGTTATCACTTTGTGACCCCCACCAAATATGTTCCCGTCCCACCCCCTATATCATATCCCAAAATCAGCTCCTGACGACTGCTGCGACGCGTGCTATGAATTTCGTGACACACACACACAGACAGACAGACAGCGTTTTATATATAGTAGGGATGGTTCGCACGCGTGAAGCATTTACACGAACGTCGAGATGATTTGGCGAAGACAAATCTTTTGGGACCTAGGATACAGCATTGCGCCCCATATCGTTGACCTCCCACCCAACAAATTAAAGGACGAATTCACGCTGAAAGGCAACCCATTCAAATTAACTTAGGGATGGTGAGTGGTACACGAAAGAAGGAAAAACCATGAGAAACGGCCCAGAACCCGAGAAATGGGACCCCTTCCTTGCCCGTTGATTTGAGCATTGATGCGACTCTCATCGCTGTGCCCTCTTCAACACTACGCTCTCTCACCTATCTAATCACTCGCCACGTATAGACCTGCGGCGAGTGATCAGATGATCGGTGGGCGTGCACTGACCACCGCGCCAAGATTGAGCCTTAATAGGTCAACTTCTTCAGTACCAATTGCGCTTCAGTCCGCACCAACTTTATTTCAGTCCTTGTCGACATTTTTTTCCATCTCATCACAGACGTTACCCTTCACATCTCCCTATGGCATTTGGTAACCGTAGTAACACATAGGTTTGATCTCGGACTTTGCCCTCGAAGAACGCTTCATTCCTAATATACAGTAGTGGCCAGAAATTTATGAACAAACGGTTTTTTCATGATTTCTCTTTTGAAAGTCACTGCAACGTCTCCAAATTTGCAACAATTATTAACTACGTGTTTTATGATCCACACAGAAAATTTCAACCTTCAGCTCAAATTTGGTTTAGAAAGTTTCACAAGAATGCTGGGTTGTGAACAAAACTTTCGCCCCAGGCGGGACTAGAACCCGCACCTCTCGCTTTAGAAAACAAAAATAAAATAATAAAAAAAGAAATGAGTTTAGAAAATTTTAGATTTTTCGAAATTGAATGAAGGCAGGTGAAAGATCACTCGATCGGTTTATTCGATTTAAGTAATGTATAACCCAACAGAGCAGTCGAGTAAACAGTCACTATTAAGCAAGTCTAGCACATTGCCCAGAACTCTCTGAAGTATTGGATACATAAAGT